CACAGACAGCCTCTTCCCAATATGCGTTTTTGCAATTTACATAAATGCAAAAACGCATAAAAAAACCAATGTAAACGAACGATCAGCATCGGCTTCCAGAAGAGCAGAAACAATACTGATATGTCCCTTGCTGCTAGCCAAATGTAGTGGCCGATCTTTTACTCCACCACACGAGTTCGGATCTGCTCCACGTTTCATAAGTAAACGCACTATCTTCAAAGACAATGCCACGCTCATATGAAAGGGGTTTTGTTCACTTGGTTGAGAGGTTTACAATAAGGAGCAGAAAAGCTACTCTAATTCCACTGTTTAATTAATGGATAAAAAGGCCCATGAAATCCTTGAGATGTGGCTGTGTTTGAGGCTTTAAGGAACCCAAGCATCCGGGAATTATACAAATTATATGAACTTATGATTTACAGAATGAACAGAGCGAGTACAAAAGTAATCCTCTATAATCTGAAGGCGAGCAAATGCAGTAAAAAAAAATCCATTTGAAAGCTAATTACCTTAAAGAGAAGGATTCAAATTGGAGACAGCTGGAAAATCTGCGGCGAAAAGATGAAATCACTGATATTCAAAACAACAAAGCAGTTCGTTTAAGATCTAGCTGGTACACTTTCAGGCAGTTCGTAATTTTAAATTTAACATTCCGTACCTTTTCATGAGCGAAATAAGTAGCCGAGTGAAGCGGTGTGAAATGTACAAAATCAACAGCATTCAGCGACGCGCCGTGCTCGATTAGCCTATCAACAAGCTCATCATTCCCACACATTACCGCCAGATGTAACGGTGGTAGTTTATTGCGACCTCCAAAATCAACGTCCGCTCCAGCTGCAAGCAGCTCTTCCACCGTTTCCGTCTCGCCCTAAAACTTGGGAACAATAATTTTACAAAAGCGATGCAGGATTGCAAACGCAAGGAGAAATATTAGCTGACCACTGCTCATAGCACATGTGAGAAGGAATGGCTTCTCATACATTGGATTCCCGCACTGATTTCCGAATAGTGGGAGTAGTCAGAGTAGAACGTCCTAATAAATTATAGAAAGATTATACAAAAATTATAAAAAATTTGTTATGAAAAACCTATAGATCTTAACGGCGAATTAGTGTTAGTTTTGCAATAACACCTTGTAAACGGCGAAATGAAGAGCGGAAAATCCGTTCTTGGACTGATGCTTCAAAAGCATTTCCTTCTTTGCTTCGTCATCGCCACATGCATCAAATAGCTGCACAATCTTTTCCGCCTGCTGAAAGAACTAAAAACTGTTAATTAATATGCTCGTATTTTTTATCAAGGTGAATCTCATTCTCATAAAACTATAAAAAATGCTGAAATTCAGAAAGCTTCTATACCTGCTCAGAATGTCCAGCGCAAATGAGATGCAGTAGGGAAAGCTGGTGATCTTCGGTGCGTTCGTCCAAACTTTCCACCCCCTTCAGTTGCTCTTCCAGCGTTTTTGCCGTGCCTTGACTAAAATTTAAAAAGTTAATATATTTTTCTGGCAATCTGTTTAGCTTTGAGTGGAATACAGGCAATTAGTATACATTTTAATTTCCACAGCTTTTTCTCAACTCGCATTTCTTTTTTCCTTTCTAGTCCATTCAATTCGGTTAAGTCAATTTCTGCAATACTAAATTATAACTCAAATGCTTAGAAACTTTCAAATCAAGAGAAGCATATAGTGCCAGATTCTTTTTTTGCCCGTTAAAAGCATGGTAATATTTTTTATAATACACTCTTCACAAATTTTGATATGGCTTGAATTTGAATAATAATCGCTATGATATTCTAAAACTGTCTAGCTATTTGCTCTATAACGAGAACGTACAAGCATGTGTTCTGGATGGTGTTCCAGGCATCGAAGCGCGGCTTCACATCGTCGTTTAGACGTGAACGGACCACAGCATACCCTTCGCTGATTTTTTTCTTCAGTTCATCTGCAAAAATAATTTCACCCCCTACATGGAAAAGGGCCAAATAGTAGCACTTATCAACTGCCAAAACCAACGAGCAGCAGCTTTCTTTCCTGAAGATTGTTTGACAAATAGACAGTTCATCACTCTCCAGTTAAGGAGTCGTGGAAGGATTAGTTTTTCTGCTAGCGAATTTCAATCTCAGTAAGTTGGCTCTTAAAAATGCGCCAAACCTGTCCTTAATACTGTAAAATTTACCGGTGCATGACGACGGCGGACGTGATTTGTAATTACCCATTGCTTTAGGCGTCACATTGAAAAGGAAAAAACGAAGAGCTCTTAAAGCGTCTGGACGCTAACTACAGCGAATGAGCGAGATCTTGCAGCAGATGCTTCACCAGGGATGATGTTGCTGCTGCTAGCACTGCCGCTACTACTGCTGCTGCAGCACAAATTGTTCAGGAGCACTACTGCTTTCAAACCCTCTCGTTTTCTAATTCTTTTAGCAGCAGAACTCTAGCTGCTCCACTGCTCAGCACATTGAAATCTCCGATATTCCTGAACTATTTGAAATCGATTTAGTGTCATGGTCTAGTGGTTCGCCACGGTATTTTCAAGCAAATCTGACCAGTACCAGCCACTAGCTTTGCAAATAATCCCTCCGGTGCAAATCCCGATTACAATCACTGGGGTTGGATGTGTACTTGAAAAGCAAACTTATGCCTTTATGTTTTTGATAAGTTTACCTATCTTTATGCGTTTTTGTTGTGCAGCGCTATAGCACTGCTACAGCGAGCTGAAATGCATATTGTCGAGAGGTCGACTGTCTGCGTGTTTGGAAGTGCCACTTTCAACTCAGCAGCCACGAAAGCTGGGAGACTGAAATATTGGATTTATGCTCCTACCCCGTGTGCCATCCTCCCGTTTTAAAATTTTTGCTCGTATGCGCCTAGACCCCCGTACGGACCCCGGAAAAAATGTGCAAAATTTTTGGTGGCAAACGATTTCACGAACCAAGCAAGTTACGAAGCTGAATTTTTGCGGGGATATTCCCTGCGCATGTACGAACTAAAGATTCCAAATTCAGCTCTCGCGCACTCCTGTGCAACACGTACGATTACGCCAAAATTTGCAACATGGTACTGTGTTAGTTCAAAAACTTGCGGGAATACTGTGGTTGAAATTTTATCAACATATTTTGTCGCCTCCATAGGAAATCTTATACCTAAAATGAGTATCGACTTGTACTTGCACAACGATTTAGGGCACATCAAAAATATTTGTAGTGAAGCGGCTATTTCGCTTACCGGATAAGGTACGGAGCTGAAACTTCGCAGGGATAATCTACTTTCAAATACGGTTTTGGTTCAGCTTGGAAGCGAATTCCCCTGCAGGTAGGCGTAATAAATACTCAGCTTTACCAAAAAATCAGAAACGAGTACATTTTGCAGCGAACGACCGCCCTCATCCTCTCCCACTTTGTAAATGAACTCATTCACATATTTGAATTTTTTGACGAACGACCGCTTTAGCAACATTTCCACTTTCCAGTGAACTGAAAACTTTCACTTTTTCGAACAGCGAGTATTTGCCAGAAAAACGACCGGGCTTCGTGCAAAAAACTGGTAATCATGTACCTTGAGCTCCATGCGGCCCTATAATGCAACACCATCATCCCAGCCGAGGCTCTTCCTTCTGCATGTCAGAAGAGGCCAAAGCACGGCCAATTTGAGTCCAGGTGTTAGGCTACAGGGCAAAGATTATTCCTGCTATTAGCGATCAGCGAGTTTAAATTAGCATGATCACACCGGCAAGCCTGGTGCATTCCAGTCTCGGTTAAGCATATATTTAGGGAAAAGTATTGAACGGGAAAACAAGACGCTAAATACTGAAACTGCATTACAATTGTATTTTAATGGTAAAAAATGTGGACGGCACCTTGACGATCAGAAATCCAATTGCACCTAAAGTCTCAGTCCATAGTCCTTACAAAGTTTCGAATTGATAAAAATCTAGTTTTTTTTGTTTCTGGATTGAGCCTACACAGTGCTGACTGAAGGGTGTGTAAAAAAAATTTATCACCGTTGCTTCTCAAAATTATAAGAAGTCGAAAAACTCTTTCAAATTTTATTTTGTATAAGAGGTGTAGGAAAAAAAATCAAAAAAGCCTGTTTCTACTTCCCAAAAAAAAAAGATACACATCTCAGCCTAACTACTTGTCAGTTGCTGGCTTATGATCAGACAGATTAACAAAAAAAAAATGTTTCTGATTACTCGGCGCAAAATGCATTCTGATGTAATAGCATTTGACAGAAAATGCAACAGAGAGTTCCAAAAATGGATTTTAAAGTATGTGACGGATTGCTGACTGTTTTCTTTAATTGGGAGTTGTTTGTCTGCTCTGTGACCTAGTAATCCGATTTCTCTTCCGCTGGGTGTTTTTTTAAGACGAACTCAGTCCAGTGAGTACGCAAAGGTCAACAAATTTGGTTTCTATAAAATCTTTTAGTACCAGTTCCTTTTGCTTAAAAAAGCTCTGCTTGCGAATTTACTTTCATTATTTCCATTTTTGCTGCGAATTTTGAAGGAAAATCGAAGGAATTTAGTATGTATTTTGGTAGATTCAAATTGTTATCTTATTGGTTGAAGCTTGGTCCAAATCTTTATTTCCGACAGTTTCTTTCATAGGCTGGATTGCTTGCAATTCATTTAATTGTCGAACAGGAACTGTTACTTCCAGCTGGTTGCTTTGGAAGGAGACAATTTCATAAAATATTGGGTTATTTAACTGCAAGTCTCAAACTGCTTTTTAGGAATGAAAAGTTTTTTAACCTTGTCAGTAATTTTATTGGTGATACCCAGTGAAAGTACCATTTTCCCGAGCAATCCGCATCTGGAGTCGGGATTATTCAGCAGCAGACTCCCTGAATTAAATTATCCGAAACGAATCAGCTGGAGGGGATTGAAAGAGCCACAGCAGCAGACAAGAATACTTTTCCGCAGGAGTATTCGTAACTCCGGCACTTACTCTGGCCCAATACGCAATGGAACTTTGATGCCAGCAGCTGACGAACGATGTAACAGCGACAAGCTTCAGCGGATCATGCGCGAGGTATGCACTGTTCTGAAACTTCTAGAAAAATACTTATGACCCCGTAGTAAGCGAAAAAGCATTTATGACCTCATTTCACGACTTCATACCGTTTGTCAGGATGGCCACCGTGGCTTTGTCAGAATGATCGCCGTGGCTTAGCCAGGATGAACACTATGACCTTAAGGTGTTTTTGGAGACCTTAATGATTAGGCAATAAGAAATTAACCTGAAGCATCTGACTAAAAACAAATTTCGCTTATTCGTCTGGCACTGACATACGTGTCTTTGTTATAAGCGGGAACCAGTTAAAATGTCTGACAGCAAAAATTTGGCCAAAACTTGCTTCTGTCTGATAATCGTTGCTTTGATCTCTTTGAAAAAGCTTAAAATATTTTGAAGCAGTCACTAGCTTGAACACAATGGCCTGCAACTATCCCAAAGTGAGCCTTCGGGAATTTGCAGAAAGCACATCAGCAACTCTTGCAAACTCAAGTATTTATTTTTCTTTCATTATTAAGAATACCTCTGCAATTATCTCATTTACAAATATCCAGTGGTCCCCAGCCTGCTAG